TTTCCCCCCGGGGGGGGGGGGGGGGAGGGGAGGGAAGAAATGCAGGAGAAAAAAGGCAAATTAAAAAAAACATTGGCAAGGGCAACATCATTCTGCAAGTAGAATATTTCAAATGATACTAAAAGAACTCTGGGATTGCTTAATTAGAAACAACACACACATACACACACCTTCTTTTCTGACCTTAATTGAATTTTTAAATACCATACTACAGTATTAACCTCAATTTAAACCAGCAGACGTCTAGAACCAAACAACACTAGGAACCACCAAAGAGTACTGGATGTAATAAAAGCATCAGAAATCCAAGCCAGCTATTGAAGGGATCATTACATCTGTTAGCTCTCAACTCTTTAAAAAAAAAAAAACAAACCATGATACCAGTACCTACTGGGTTTGCCAACCCGTTGCTTTAAGGTGAGTGGGAGGTAGGGGATATTGGAATCTGTTTGCATGCCTCTACACAGTATCTGCAGAGGAATAATTAAACAAATGAACAGGGAAGAGGGAAAAGAAAAGAAACATTTTAAAACTTGTGTTTACTAATATTCTGTACATGAGATTCCTAAAGAATAACTTGTCCTCCTAGTTAACCTTGTCCTGGAATATATACAGGTTATTTGTTGCGGCCACTGCAATGATATTTTCTGAAGGATGCCAAGCTGTATGCAAGATCTTTTTGCTGAAGTCCAGACTGTCCACGCTAATTTCGTCTTTCCTCCGTTTGCCCCCAACGCACACTTTGCGGGGCTTGAGTATGGCCCGGGGTTTGCTGTTTTCCCTAGAGGCCTCCAGGGTTACGTCACGCTTGGTGTTGCGGTCAAACATTCTGAAGAAATTGTTGTAGGAGCCGGTCATTATGACACTGTGAAGCAAGTGGAAAGATCAGATGAGAGTTAATTATGCCATATGAGGATGGCACAGCAGCTAGAGCTTAGGGCCTCTTAAGCTTCTATGTCTTACTCTCCCTTCCCCAATCTTGAGGCATCAGATCAGATTCACTATCCTTCTGGACAATAAGGGCATGATGAGAGACAATGTCACTCCTGAATTAGCCATAGTGGTTTGTGATAGATTGACCTCAAGATGGCGGCCTTCCTCCTTCCCCAAGGGCTAGGAATGACTTTGGTAACTTTCCTTTGAGTTTTTAATTTTTTTCCCCCATGCCTCTATATTTATTGGGCTTGGATGAGTGAGAAGTTCATTGAAAAAGGTTATTCTTGCAGGACTTCCAACCAGCCAGTATCAGGAAGTTCTGGAGAACTCCATTCCTTTTATCAGACCAAAGATCTTTGGATATATTTAAATAAGCCCATACATCTCATCAAGTCTTTTCTCAGTACTTATTCAAGGAGAATTCCCATGGAAGTCCGTGAGTTTTTCCGGAGTACAGACTGAATAAGAATCTCATAGTTCGACATGAATTTTTTCTGACCTGTACTCTGAATTTCACCCATTATTAAATGCAAAAAAACCCAACCTTGCAAGGAGGCATTATTTGGAACCAGATTAGATATGGGATTTGGGCTCAAGGCCCAATTAATCCTGGGTTTATGTTTTGAGGGTGCTGAATTTGCATAAGATTTTGGCCCACAATTGCAGAAATCGTACAAAATCAGGCAATCCTACTTGATTTCTGCCACCTTGAATGGTGTGACTAATGCAAGAATTTCTGCAATTTTGGGCCAAACTATATCGTCATCTTCTTGAGCCAAAATCTCCACATGAACAACTGGTCTCCTGAGATTTCAACCACATCCAAACCGGAACCAGAAAGTTTGGATGATGTGGTACCAAAACTTCAGGCATAGATTCAAATTCAATGATTTGAATCTGACAGCACCTCCCCACCCCAATAATGCCTGAAATTTGGAGGAGTTTGAACATGTGGTTCTGGGTTAGGCCAATCTCTGTTTCTATCCATATATTTATGAAAAGAACTCCAAACTGTGCACCAAACATTCATGTCACCCACAAAGAGGTCAGTGAAAGAACTACAGAGCAGAAGGGAGAGAAGAGCCAATAGTATTATGTCCATACTGGTTGTGGTTAAGGTTGCGTTACATTTTGCACTTAACACAGGAATTCAACTTCTCTGCTGTGTAAGAAAAATCCTCCCAAACTGACAGCACATTTTGAGTGCAGAACGAATAATACAATGGGTGGTTTGGGGAACCGTCAGAGAAAAATCCCCTCTTATAATTCATGATGATGCGTCTCACCTGTCAGACCCATTCCACACACATTCAAATTTATCGAAGATGCAGTCATTCTCATAGAGCGAGCACAGCTTGCTTCGGAGGTAATCGTGTACCTAACAGCAAAGACACAAGGCCGTGGAATGAAAACAAGACTGTGCTTTGTGGAAGTTCTGCTAAAGCCTGAAGTCATACAGTCATAGACTTTAAGGTCAGAAGGGACCGTCATGATCGTCTAGTCTGACCTCCTGCACAACGCAGGCCACAGAATCTCACCCACCCACTCCTGTAATAAACCCCTAACCTATGTCTGAGCTACTGAAGTCCTCAAATCATGGTTTAAAGACTTCAAGGTGCAGAGAATCTTCCAGTAAGTGACCTGTGCCCCACGCTGCAGAGGAAGGCGAAAACCCCCCAGGGCCTCTGCCAATCTGCCCTGGAGGAAAATTCCTTCCCGACCCCAAATATGGCAATCAGCTAAACCCTGAGCATGTGGGCAAGTCTCACCAGGCAGACACCCAGGAAAGAATTCTCTGTAGTAACTCAGATCCCACCCCATCTAACATCCCATCACAGGCCATTGGGCATATGTACCGCTAATAATCAAAGATCCAAAACACATCAAAAAGCATAGCCAGTTTGTCAGCATTGAATCTTCAACATCTACTCACTGCTTGTTAGTTCTGCATTTCACCTATATAGCCCAGTGCCTTACAAATGTGAAGTTTGTTCCTGCTGTAGTACTTACTAATACATCCTCAAACAAAGGCATTGATGGATATATTGACTGGTTCACTGTGTTCTCTAAATGGAGTTGGATGGCGTGTTTAAGTGTGTTCAGTTGTATATGCACTTTCAATCATTTTACAGTCTAGCCTATGAAAAATGAATGTTACCATTTCAAAGATGGCTCAAGTCCCCAGTGGGCTGAAGAACAGTGACAGGTCTGTGTTAAGGGACTCAGCATTGGAATGGTATCTGGTGCTGCAGGTCTGGATTAAGGAAGGTCTACTGGGGCACTCTGCACAACACCTGTCCAAAATATGCCTGAAAATCAATTCCTCACTTTCACCAAATTAGTTTCACCAATCCATCCAAAATCATAAAAGGAAAAAAATCAAGAAGGTTATAATTTATCAAGTCACTCAAGCTCATATTTTATAGATATGCTCCCACTGAAATCACAGGCAAAACTTCTGTGGGAGTAGGGGCAGGTTCTTATACTTTGTATGTTTACCCTAACCCTTTCTATCACGAACTTGTGCACCCATCACTGAAAGGTGAAATCTGGTCCTTTCCCATTTATTCCAAATCCCTACAACTGTTCCTATTTAGTTTTAAATGTTTCTTGTCCCATCAGCCTTGAAGATGAAATACCTGGTATGTCTCAATAGGCCTGTTCTCCATGTTCAGGTCCCATACTTTGACGGTGAGATAGTCCCTGGTCATGATATACCTTCCACTGTGACTGAATTTAACATCAGAAATTGAGGAGATGATCTCAGAAAAAAATGATCTGTTACTTGGGTCTTCAGGCTCTTCAAAAACTGCAGAACAAAAGAAAAACGGCAACATAAAACATGCTGTAAGTTGAATCAATACGATCTTAGAGGAAGACTGGTCATGCAACAATGGCACACTGGGGCCCCAAATTAGGAAAGCATGTAAGCATATGATTAACTTAAGTGCTTTCCTGAATCAGGGCCTGGGCTAACATGGCCAGTTGGAATGTTCTAATGTGTCTGCTTGGACAGTATTTAGTGGCAAATCAGTGACTGTATCTGTATAGAAAGGATGGTAACAAAAGGATAGGAACATAGGAATTGCCATTCTACATCAGACCTTAGGTTCATCTAACCCAGTAATCTGTTTCTGACAGTAGCCAGCACCTGGTGCCTCAGAGGAAGGTGCAAGAAATCCCATAATGGACATTTATTTAATTAACCAGCCCACAGGGTAAGTTTCTTCCGATATCGGCATCTGAATGTGCAACATTAAAATATCGAGAGAAAGAAGGGAAATTTGAGCCAAACTCAGTTTTGTCCCTACTTTTTCCTAAGAACCCTTCAGCATTTGAGCCTGATCCTTCATGGTGCTGGGGACCCCAAACTCACATTGATGTTGGTGTCAGTGCGACACTAAAACCTTGCACATTAGGCTCTTTTTGGGGGTGAAACTTCATTTTTTCCCTTGAGTTCCGCCTCTTTACATCATGATAAGGAAAAGCTGGCGTTGGTGTTCTGAGATCTTAGAGAGACATTTTCAGCACAAAGGTCGCGCACCAAAATGCAATGACCAGTAAGACTGTCATGCTTTCTCACCATTCAATTTTGTCTGACAGTTTTAAACTATACAGTACAATCTTTAGTTGCATTTCATCATTCATGTGCAAGGCACCCTACAGTGCTGTTCAGAGAGTCATTATAAATCATGCACTACAAAATATTAATTTCCTAAATTAAAATGCAGCATTACAAAATGAGGCGTCACTTTGACTGCACAGCTGGAATGAATCCAAAAGGTGGAGAACACAAGAATTGCAGGGCTAAAACTGGCAAAACTGGCTCTGCTATAAGGAGATACAACTCGATTGGAATCAGTGGAATTGCATCCCCATTTATACTGGGTCTGGATTTGACATAAAGTAGACAAAATGCCCATATTTGAAGGATTTTACCCTGCATAGTTGAAGCTACTTCATCTTTAATAAGTGCAATGAGCAAGGACGACCATAGGAGATCAATATATCAACAATGCAACACTAGCCCAAAAACGTAAAGCCTTACACACTATTCCTGCTTGCTGAAAATCAAAGTGATGAGCAACTGGAAGTCGATGTAAAATTTCATAGCTACTGCAAACATACAGCTTAATCTTGTTACTCCCTGAATACATCACAATTTGAGCAGTTTACAAAGGAGACCAATGAAGTTCAGCAATTTGGGACCCATTTATAAAATTAAATTTCTGAATGTCAATGTCTCTCTCTCAAAACCTTGTGGTCCTCATCACATATGGACCCTTGTTGGTGGCATCAATAGAGGCTGAGGACCAATGAAGTTCAGCAATTTGGGGCCCATTTATAAAATTAAATTTCTGAATGTCATCAGCAGGACATGTGTCTCTCTCAAAAACGTGTGGTCCTCATCACATATAGACCCTTGCTGGTGGCATCAACAGAGGCTGAGGACTGAGTGGGCCATCTATCAGGTCTGATCCATCTCTACAGATGGTCACTACAGGTTAGGGTTGAGGCAGGGTGTCATGGTGCAAGTTTGTGTTGCTGTTGCATGGGCTACCCTTGTGCCGTGGTTGAAGAGAGGACTCCAGTCTCCATCCAGTCCCTTTCACTAGCACTGAAATTCTTTTTAGAAAAACCCCTCCACTGCTGTTCCATTGACAGTTGGGCTAATATTCAGACCCACCTTCTGTCTAGAAAATAAGTGGCTTAACCTGGCAGCCAGCCTGACTGTTTCATGTACCACAAAAAGTGCTGCCAGAGATTGACTTTCAGAAGACCATACTGAGTGCAAACATTTGTTCAATGTTATTATCCCCTATCTGAGTGCTGGGCTGCGAACTCCTGAGTTCTGGAGTAGGAGTGGGGGGGGGGGGGGGGCGGGAAATTGCCTGAAGTGCCAGAACAAATGATCTCTCTACAAATCAGAATGGCGTAGCTCACAGCAGGATCCAAGTTGGGCTCCTTTAATCGCCAGCAGGAATTCTGCTGACCTGCAGGTTTTTTAAAATAAATAAATAAAAAACCAACACCCCAACAACAACAGAAAATAAAAGATCTGAGCTGGTCTGCAGAGAGCTCATGTCTTCGGTGTAATAATTACAGGTTTGCTCGCACCAGGTGGACTGACTCATGAGGCTTTCTTTAATGGCTGCATCATTTCCATTCGGTGTGTACGTATGTGTATGAGCTTGTGTCAAGGCTGGAAGTGTTAAATCTATAGCACACAAGCAGGAGGAATTATTGCTGATGCTGTAGAACTGGGAAATGTCAAAAACTACAAACAGCAACAACAAAAAAGCTCCGGAATATCTGAAGAATACTATGAATGAATGGGAAATTCCAGCAAGAACAAGACAATGGTGGTGTTAAAAAAACAACAAGGCAAATTTTTGATACATTTCACCAGGAACTGAATATTCCACAGGCTATTGTTCTTGGGAGTGAGATTCCCTCTCGGCTGAATGTCAAAATCTACTCCATTGCTTTTCCCCATGCTCTTTCTGTACAGGTTGTTATTGTTATTATTACATTTGCCTTTTTTACTGATCATCTTTTTAACCCCAATCTTCAACAGTCATTGTATATGCTGTGCCAACCTTGCCCTCATTCCAGAGGTCTGAAGTCAAATGAAAAGCCACTGCCAGGGGGAAAAAGGCTCTTCAGAGCAGCCCAAGGAAGTGACCAGGCATCTACTTCTCCTGAATGCCCTGAGAAGGGTCCCAGAAAATGGGGGACTCAAAAGCAGGGAGGACCGTTACTTTCACAGATGTCTCCATCACCTTCCACCATGGGGCACATCCATGCTGAAGAATGAGGAAATGTGCATGTGGGACAAAGGAAGTGTCCAGTCATGGCTACAAAAGAAGCCATAATTTCCAAATGTCTTGATTCAAGTATGGGCCAAAATTCTTTTATGTAAAACAGGTCCCTATGTCTGCAACGTTGGGACCCTGTCACTTCTCAGATAGGCTGGAAAACCAGAACTGCAAGAAGCAGGAAAAGATTTAGAGATGGGCCTGAATGAAAATTCTGGAGCCAAAACACCCCATAACACTGGATCTTCGCTGAAATTCAGCCCATCTCCAGTAGGATCCTTTTTGCAAGGCAGCTTCAAACCCACTACTTGGACTGAGGTTTACTCATCAATAAATAAGATCAGCACCAACCAAGGGCTTTGTTATGGTCTTTTCTCCATTTAAACTTTAATCACAATAAATAACCAATGCTGACTGGAAATGTAGAAGTCTATGAATCGCATTGTTACCAGAGACCACAGGAGGCCTCGCCACTCAGCACAGCCTCACAGTTTCTGATTCCATGCTGCCCCAACAACTGGCTTCCTTGGCGATTCCATTGGCAACTACTAATTCAAGCCTGTCCCAGCATATTTGGCGCAATGTCACCCCTCAGTGCAGATGTAACAAGGAGTCCCATTGGAGACAACTGATTTCCATTCAGGTAAAAGATTTCATCACAGCAAGTAAAGACAGAGGAGAGGCAACATCAGGAAATGCTAAACATTTTCTGTGCTGTGAAAAGAAGCCAGGATGGAGCAAGAGGCTGTTTCTTTTAAATAGATAGGGCAGACACAAGGAGGGGGAAGGACTGGAACACACAGGCACAGTGAACACTGTGATGGCAGCAAACGGCATGTTTCTTCCATGATTGTTCGGGGGAAGGGGAGGACAGTTAGTTAGGAGGACATGTGAAGGCCAAAGGGCAGGGAGAAGAAGGCAAGAGGGACAGGTGTGGAGTGAAGCTGAGGTGAAAGAGGAGGGAGACGGTTGACCCAAACAGCCGATCATGACGGCACAGAAAGTCCAGACAAAACTGTTTCTCCTCCTCTGGAGATTCTGCACAAGGGGCTAGTTAATTGTTTCCTTTAGGTCTGTTGGCCTATTATTCTGTGCAACAGGAGCTCATTCTGTATTACGTAGAGGGATTGGGAAAGGTTCACACCTCAGGAGAGAAATATTGGTTGCTCATAGTATAATTCTGAAACAGCGAAGGGTCCCCAATTCATGTTAAAATTCAAGGAAAAGGATGGCTCTTGTCCAGATTTTAAAGGTATTTAAGCACCTAAAAATGCAGGTAGGTGCCTAGTGGGATTTTCGAAAGTGCCTGAGTGCTGACCTACATGCCTTAACACATAAGAAATACACTAGAGTGACAGTGGTTCAATACTGCACTCCCTAACTGCCAGTAGGAGAGGGCTGCTTAAGGCCTGCTCAGCGATCAGCTCAGCTCTCGTTTGAGCTGCATCTACAACACTGCCCACGTGAAGCCTTGTCTAAATGGGAAATACTGTTGGACGATTCCCTCCTTGGGGAAAATGATTGGGTGAGTCTCTCTCTATGGAGAAATTGTCAGATGCAGCTCTTTATGGGAGTGCACTGCCTCTCCATGGGAAAACTGTTGCCTTGTGTCTCTCCAAAGGAAAATTGTCACCTGCTTTGCTCTGCAGGAAAATTGCCAATTTTGTCCCATTATGGTAGAAATTGTCAATCACGTCTCTATATGAGGGGAAAATATCATTGTCTCTCTGTAGGGCAGAAATATCAGCCTAGGAGAGAGATTAACAAAACTCCATACAATTCCCAATCCTTTAATACACTTCCTAGAAGGCTGAGGCTATACATTGTTCTCACTGTGCCTTTTCTATTTGGCATCCAGCTTTCGCAGTATTTCAGATTCATTAGGATGCCACAGTCCAGCTTTTGTAACACCATCAGCACTGCATAAGATGTATGAGTTATCCACCATGCACAGACCAGTCAAGGAGAGTCTGACTGGAAAAGAAATGCA